CCCAGCTCTTCTCCATGCACCCGGTATGTATCCGAGGGCTAGGCTACTTACTAATGCTTTCCTAATACGGGAGAGGAGTATTTCCTGTCCCGTTTAAAAGAAAGGCTGGCGATATGCCGTCCATTCCAGGTGACTTATCCCCACGCTTCAGTGCTAAGTTCGCATCAGGCGCTCGTTTCGCCAGTGCTCTATGGAGCCTGGCGCCTTCGCTTGTGCTAACTATGCTTTCGCAGAAGTTCCTGTAATTCTTCCGTTTGGCATTCCTTATCTCCTTATTGTAGGAGGTCAGGCTTTCACGGTACTGCTCCCATATTCCGGCTCTCTTTGCTTTATTGAAGAGGCGACGTGTGGTCACGCGCAGCCTTTCTAGGCTGTCGTTCCACCATGGGGCATCTTTCTTCATGTACTTTTTCCCTATCGGGCAGTTATCCTCAAATGCATTGGCTATGCACTTGTTGAGGTCACCAATGGCCCTGTCCAGCTCTAGCGGCTCTCTGGGTATACCAGATAACCCGTTGGCCTGGGGAGAGCCCTAAGGCCGACTTTGCGACTTGCTTATAAGGATACTGGAATAAATAAAAGGCAAATATCAATTAAATTAAGTCGATCGGCATCACATATGATAAATAAAAAAAACTATAACAAACAGTGCTAAAAAACCAAGAGCAAAAATGATCACACAGGCAAAAATCTGCAATCTTACGGACTGAACTGGATACAAATGCTAAGGCATCTAAAATTCTATTTGGTTTAAGGCTACAAGTATCGAAACAGTGTGTTCAACAATTTTTTATCAACTAATGACCGATTAGTTTGGAAGATAATGCAGTCAAAGCCGGATTAAACGCAGGTGCAGCAAAATGCCACATCAAATTTTGCAAGAAGAAAAACACATGTATTGGACCCAGGAGTAGTAGAATGTATTATTTTCTGATGAGAAAAATTTAATTTCGATGGTCCAGGCGACTTAAATTGTTACTGGCACGAAGCTGTGGTGGTGGTTCACTCATGATCTGGGATGCATTCGTTCTCACAACAGTACACCGATAAGTATTATTTATAAAACTGTTGGACGAAGTTTTGGTGAACTTTAAGGTTCATCAACCAGACCTAATAACCTTATTCCCACAGGTCAGTTGTGGGTTGTTTTGGGATAAGGATTTGAAACTTTTAGAGTGGCCAGCAAGATCACCCGACATGAATGCCATACAAAACATGTGGGGAGACCTGTGCCGTCGAGTTTATACAAGTAGTCGACAATTCGAGATAGTCGTATAGCTACGAAAGGCTGTCGTTAATGAATGGTCCCAAATCCCTCACCCTGACTTCCAAAAAGTTGTTGAATCGATGCCAAATCGAATTTTTGAAGTTTTTATGCCATTTATTTATGTCATATTCATTTTTGACACCTTAACCTCGCATAAAAAAATATCTGAATTCAATATTTTGTGTTACCACACAATGGGGTGGGTGTGGGTGTATCCTATGTAAGCATATACATGTTTTGTTTTGTTCTGTCTTCCCCTCTTTGACGCCCCTTTGGCCTCCTCAACAGTCATTTCTCTTCATCTGCGAACATAATTGTTTTTTAAACAGAAATAAAAAAGCGCATGCCTCTGCCTGCTTCCCATTGACTGACGGTTAAGCGACGGCTGCAATCGTGACTGTCGCTTCGTCTCTTTATCTGACTCTACCCTCCCATGCACGCTATCATCGACTGCCACTTATGTCGAGCTCTTACGCACACATGCAGACTGATATGAATATTTGTTAGTGTATATATGTGTGTCTGCGTGCATGTCTACGGAATGAGTCTGTTCTCTTCCCCATTTCTGTTCTGGCGTAACTCATTAACTGACACCATTAACCATAAGGTTTACAAATATTATTTTTATTTTTGTATTTTTGAAGTGCTTTTCTGCATTACGTTTTACCTCTGCTATCAACGTGACTCGAACGCTTATATGAACATACTGGCGTCGCCACACACACGAAATAATGCAAAGACATGGCAATCTCAAATGTCAGATACAGTTACAAGTTGGACGTTTTTCGGGGCTTGGCTTTGGCTCATAACATTCTGCAACAAGGGTGGTGGTGTGGGGAGGTTGCGAGCAAGTAAATAAAATGAAATTATGCTAATGTGGACTGTTAGCCCGACCTGTGGGCACTTGAGGCGTGGTAAAGACATGTGATAGGAGAGCTGTCCAGTCACGCTCCCACCTTCGTCACTCTTTTCTTTTCGTAATTAGTTTCCATTTAATTAGATACAAATACTAAATATATGCATATAGGTACACACATTTTTAAATACACACGAAGAACCTTTTCTGTAATCATTGCTAATAATTCCTTTCGACTTGATCACAAAATATTATTAGAGATAAATAAAGAAATACACCTTTTTCAACCACAATAATAATTGATATACCCCATTTGTTGCTTGAATACGGGGTATTGCTACGAACGAAAAATAAAAATAAAAAGTGACTAAACAAAAATGTAAAACTTCAGCCACTGCGGCTGCGGCCGCAAACTAATTCCCACACAATCTGCCTGCTTGCTGACAGCAGCTTCAACTGGGTGACGATAGCGAAAGAATGGAATGGAAACATTTCAACAATGGGGAAAGAGAGCAATGGGAGAAGAGGCTACAAAATTAAATGCCATCTGTATAAACAATAAAAACAGTAAAGCTGGCCAATACAGTGATAAACGCTATTTCTATATATACAAATAAGTATGTATATACCTGTGTATAGGCGTAAGTAGGGCGCTGCCGCCTAACGGCACATATACAGATACGTATGCATATACTGTATGTACCCACATCTATCCATACATACATCCATGCATGCATACATGCCCACATACTTATATTTAACTTTAGTGGCTCGAGTGGCCACCTTAAACCGTATTCGAAATAAATTCAAGTCTTAGCGTGTCTCTCATTTTTTATTTTTGGTTGGTTTAATTCTTAGTTGTTGCTGCTGCAGTTATACACAAACACATGGATATACATACATACATACATTTGATACATTACATACAGTATGTCAAGAAAGTGTTTGGACGCAGGAGAAACTTCATATTCTCTCATTTCTTTTGCAGAAAGCAGTATTTTAGTATTGACTTATTTTGTTTCTTAATTTTTTACTATAAAGTGTAATTGCACAGTTGTTTAAACGAATGAATCTTGTTTTTTTTTTTTGTTAAATGGTTTTAAAAAGTCCACTCAATAATAGAAAAATAAGAAACAAAATATGTGAGAATATGCATTTTTTCCTGTGTCCAAAGACTTTCTTGGCATACTGTATGTATGCATATATTTGTGGACTTGGTGAGCGAATTAGACTGGAACTTAGGCATGCGAAGAAGAAATAATTTTTAATTCGAAAAAACATGTGTTTTTCCTCTCATCTGTCAAGAGGATTTTAGGATTTAGTAGCCCCAAAATTTATCCTCTCTTTCTTCAATATCATAAAGAGGAGAGGGAGAGAGAAAAAGAGAGAAAGATCAACATAATCATTAATTGGGCTCGAAGTAAAATAGGATTTTTAGATATCAATATTTTGCGTACTACGTGTAATACATGTATACGTATGTACGTATGTTCATTCTCTTATAACAAATTGCACCTTTGTATGCATCCAATTAATGATTGTCTACAATTTGATGGCGCCATTAATTAGCAACTATTTAAATATTTACGTTTTTATATATGTTCAGCCTAAACGTGTGCTACACATTTTGAGACCACAACGAGAAATTATATTAGGGCCAGCTTTTATGACGCAAGCATCAAACAAAAAATCTGATATCAAATCTAAATGGTGCAAAAGCTTAAAAGCTGCCAAACCAATAAATGGTTGAAAAACGAACCTACACACCGTCATGACTTAATGCAATATCAACTTTTATTATCTATATTAATTATTAGAAGGTATATTTTTTCCCGGTATTAAGTTTGCATTATAAATTTATATGTTTAGTTTGAATTTTCAAAAATCGCTTGTGCTATATATGTGTTTTTACTATTTATCTGTTTATTTCCAGGTCAAATGCTTTTGAATTTAAAAAATGCTATTTTTTTGTATCTTCCCATAAGTTTTGAATTGCGTTGGGAGTGCGGCTTGAATCTTATTGCTATATATTTAATTAGTGCCACAATTGAATCAGTTTTCTGGCAAAAGTATTTAAATAGTTTTCAGGTAAATACACAAGTCCACAAACATGATGAGCACTCGACCATTAACCCAACTCAGCTTGGTATATTTATTTATGTAATGGTTATAAAGATAGTCCAATGGATTGTGGGTTGTTTGATTAGCTGCAAATCCCAGTGCTTTTCACGTGGCCGTTCGGCTCCAATCTACGCCATATAAAAGCCAATCTAATCAATACAGCTTATGGCAAAATCGTTCCAGGTATATACATTATGTGTTCGATATATGGCTACGATTTTGAAAGATTATGAAATGCTGATTGATGTTTTTATTACCAAAAACTCATCCAGAAAATTAAATGAAGCTATTATAGCGTATTATTTCAATTAATTCAAGGTTGCTTGTTTATCTGAAGCCATTTGTGTGTCTGTATATGAAATTTAAATGGTTTAATATAGACAATTGGGTTATATTATAATCTACTCCATAAACAACAATATGCTTAACATCGCATAAATATAATGATATTTTTTGTTTGTTTTATATGTAAATATAACGCAATTTTTATAAACTATTAAACTAGATAGAAAATATAAACTATATACAGTAAACAACCCTCGTCAGTGCTTATGAATGCTGACTTAGCTGCCGTTTTATTTTTAATTAAATTTAACAATACAAAAAAAAAAGGTACTATTTATATATATATACATATATATATATATATTTATATATATTATACATATATATATATATATATATATATATATTATACATATATATATATATATATATATATTATACATATATATATATATATATATTAATAGATAGATACGTATATAGATTTATATGAACATATATAGTTATATTTATACAATCACATCGTGATGTAAATTGTGAATTGTGAACTGTTCATTGGCCCGTAGAGGTCATGACATTGATCAGACCGGGAAATACTTCAGCCTGGATGGGTCCATAGTCGACGCGCTCTCCATCGATGGTTAGGATGCCATTGGAGCCGCTCGGCTCGATTCGAAACGCACGCACTGGCATCACCTGAATGTAGGGATCTTGTTCTGCCGGCAAATGTGAGCCTCTCTGCATGCTCAGCAGAAAATTGAGAAGTTGCGACCGCCCGACTCCAGACCGTATAATAACCAGATAAATGAGACCATCGTTCAGCCGGGAGTCCGGGGCAAAAAAGCAATCCGATGCCAAATGCGTGGTATATGCCGCATGCACCATCACAAACTCCCCTTCCTCCGACAGCCAGCCCTGCTCAGCGGGCAGCGGCAGCAGTAGGCCTGGCATTGTGGCCGTTGGCACGAGCTGATTAAACTCGGCATTGGCCGACTCGATCCGCTGCGCCACGCTCAATCGACTTCGATTGGAGCGTGTGCTGTGACCACCAAGCGAGAAGTAGGCGGTGCGACGCGATACCGCCGAATGCCAGCTGTCTGCATTCTGGCGATAGCTGCAACGATCCGTCGACAGCGCATCGACATACTCATCAAATTGAGAATGGCAATAGTCGCGCAGCTGCACATCGTTGTCGTCGTCGTCGGGCAGGTCTCTAAATTCACTCTTCTCATGCGCAGTGGATCGACGTGGTGCTAATCTGTGATTGCTCTGTTCCACAGGTGGTGGTTCCGGTGAGGATCGGTCTGTTTGTGGAGCTCTTGCTACTCTTGCTGCTGCTGTTGTGTCTGTGTGATTTGTTTTAGAACTCTTGGCAGGCAGATAGTACAGTTTGCCCGGATAGCAGCGTAGCGTGATGAGACGCCGGATGGCCCACAGTGTAAAACGTTGGGCGCCAATCGAGCGCAATCGCTCGCTCTCAATGTCAATGTCGGCGATAAGTCCCCAGCCGATCGATAGGAATGAGTACATCACAAAATGCTTATCCCGATGGTTCAGCTCGACGCGCACCACATCCATTGGTGTGGTACGCCCGGCCACACAGATCAGTGTTGCATGGAGTATGGGCTTCGGTTCGTATGGTTCGTTGCAGTGATGGGCAATGCTTTTGGCCAGGCCATTGCCCGAGCCGCATGGTATGATACCCAGGGATAGTTCGCGACATGCACGACGCCAGTCCATGCGCTCCATCAGGCCATTAAGCACTTCATAGAATAGACCATCGCCGGAGGCGACTACAATGCCATCATAACGTTCCAATAGATCCTTACGAGTGCGCACAAACTCCTGGGCATACTGTGGATGCGTTGTGATTTGTAGATCATATTGTGTCTCCGCTTCGCTCAACAATGGCGCCACCTGTTTCTGAAACAGTTCGCGTCCCTTGCCCGATCCCGACTTTGGATTCAGCAATATGAGCAGCTTTTTGCCACCAGCACCTTGACCCACTATCACGCCATCCGGCGTCGTCACGGATCGTTGTTTATGCTCGCGTATCCTGCGATGCCAGAGCCGGGCGGTGTTCAGATTCTCAGCATAGTCATCGCTGGTGCGGAAGCGTAAGATGCGTAATGTTTGAACACGGCGAAACGGTTTCTCCTTCTTCAGATACGCATAGATGTACAAATAGGCGCTGTTATCCGCTTGACCTTTGGCCTGCTCTGGCTCCAGTTGGTCGTTCTGCGGCTCGTTCTCTGACGGCTCGCGGCTGGCACTCTTGCAGGAGTTGAGGCCGCCGCGGGCACGCTTCTTCACACGCTGGCCGTAGCTGGACCCAACGATGTCCTCGATGCGTATCAGCTGCTCATTGATATGGTTGCTATTTGTCGTCTCGCGCCGCAAATAGATGCCGTCCGCGCACAGTTTGACCACAATTTTGATATCCTGCTTGCGTCTTCGATTCTCCACAAAGAATATGCCAATTAGCTGCGACTGCTCAGATTGTTTTGCTGTCGTTGTTGATTCTGTTTGCAGCTGTTGTAGTATTGGTTGTTGTTGCACATCTAATCTCTCCACATCCATATTTGCATCCATATTCGCATCCGTATCCGTCTCCGACTGTTGACCTTTGGTCTGATGATCGGTTTTGGCTGTCATGGCGCTCGTTTGTACTCCGTTGGCCCACCACCTCCAACACACTTGTAATTGGCAGCTTTCACCTGTTGGATGACACATTCAGGAAAATACCATACACGAAATCAACAAATGTTCTGTAAATAATTTCATTCTGCCGAACTTGAAATACCTCTGCTAACACACACATCCATACAGACCAGCAAGGGTGCGATAACGGTTTCAGTTAACTGATTATTCGCTTGGTAAGTACTTGGTAATACTACAAATTGTTTTTGTTAACGACAGTGTGCTATTAACATACAAGACTCTCATTATTTTTGTTTATAGATATATGTATATAAATATATATTCTAATATGTATGCATATAAATAGATTAGATTTGGAAAAAGAGTTAAAAGCAGCAAGTGAACTTACGAATGAGTACAGCCCTAAAAAACTTTAATATCATTTACTTATTTAGTAAGTAATCCGATTGAATAAAAGAGAGACGGCAAACCACTGTGTCACACTCAATTTTCATGTGCTATTGTGTCTATTTAGATCCTTATTAACTTTATATGCAATCCCAGCATCTATAAAATCTTTAAATATCACCTCCCTCCACACACCACTCCACTCAAAACAGCCATGGTTTTGGTTTGCTCTGTTTTGCTCTGTCAGACTGCATTTACTTGATTATTACCTTTTTTTTGTCTTCTTTTTGTGCGCGATTCGCGTGCTGTGTTGGTTGTTTTTTTGTTTTTGGAAGTCGCTGTTCGCTCCTGTGCGCTCGACTCCACGTAGCTTTACGTACTAAAGTAAACTAACTTTATTTCGAATTGGGAACGAATGAACACGGAGATTGGCGCTTTGTGGTATGATTTCACTTGCCTCTCACAAGCACACTCACATGAACATGCACACGCTCTTGTTGTTGGTGTTTGAAAATCTAATCAACACGTATCATATCATATCGTATCGTATATGTAGTATCGATGTTATGTGCATTATGTCTGGCTCATAACTGTATTGTCGTACGCGCATTTAATTTTATGTAGTATGTGGTATATATCTCTAACTATGCATGCTGCTCTCCCTCTTTTTCTCTTTCTCTCCCTCTCTCTCTCTCTCTCTCTCTTTTTCTCCCTCTCTCTCTCTCACACACACTCTTTTTCTCACATTCTCTTACTCTCCCTCTCTCTCTTTCTCTCTCTCTGGCATATAGCACGCATGCAAATTTTGTCAGCTCTGAGTTCGACGGCATTGAACCGCATTTGCTAACTGAGTTCGACTTTGAATTTTGTGCAAATGCACTTTATTTCAGTGGCAGGCCTCCTCTCAACTCGCCCATTCCACCTCCATTCTGCCGCCCACCCGACAGACCGCCCATACACAAGTATTTATAAATGAGCGAGAATCATCATCCATATTATAACCAGCTTTTGTTTATTGTTCGAAATTTTTTGATGTGCGAAATTTCACGTTTTTTTCGCTGGTTCCACTTGGCTTGGCTCGGCTCTCTTTATTGTTGTAGACATGACAAGTTTCGTGTCTGGTTTCGAAACTGTTTTCTGGCTGTTCGAGGATTTAGTTGATATTTGCTCAACAGGCAGATTTCCTAGACCCATCACACATACGTAATACGATAAATCAAAATTGAGAATTTAGTTTCTTATATATCGTCTGCGTTCTCTGTTCACTATGAAATCTTCAGCATATGTATAAGCAATATTTTGAAATTGGTTTTGCAATTTATTTATTTTCAAATAGAAAAGTATGGAAGATAAACTTAGCCTCTAATCTCTAGTATGTAACAGAAGCTAACAAATATCGGAATTGTATACTTTACTCCCCTGTCTTATTGATACCACAGCTGCCGTGCTATACCCATTATCTGCCCATTTATTGGCTACACAGGAATACAACTTCCTATATGTGTGTGAACAAAATTGATATAGAGGAGGTAAGAAGTGTGTAATTGTTTTAAACTAAAGATATTACGTATACGAGAGGTTGAGTTGTTCTTACCGTATATCTAGGGTTTTTTTTTAATGATTGTAAGATTACCAAAGTTTTATTTTATTTAATTGTATATAAATCGACACATCCATTCAATTATTGTGTGGTTTTTTCTCTGTGTACATAGTAATTTTGATAGGAAACTTTTGACTATTGCTATTAGATAAATAGTGCATAGACATAAAAATATCAATATTTAAGGTTGTATGCTTCAAATATTCATGTTGGCGTAGCGCATGGCTCAACGGTGTCCTTCGTTGATGAGTCTCTTGCCAAGGGAGTTACGTATCTAGTCATCTGACTTAGTCATGATTACCTAGGTAAAGTTTATATCGCTTTCCACATCGATTCCACAAGTGTTGAATGTCGCGTGTGTTGTGAATTTGAAATGTTTAATCAATTAAAGGCATTTCCTGTTTAGTTCGTAACTGCTTGATCAGGACGTCAAACTGAGTCAATACACACATATCTGTCAGGTAAATAACTTGTAGGTTTGTAGGCAACATTCTTTCAAGTCGTTTGCTCTACGCAGTGTTTTTGTGTCTGTTAAAGCTAGAGACATGCAATTGTACTAAATATTTATGATTAAATATAATATTAAAAATATATCAAATTATTCGCTGGCTACAAGGGCCAAAGTCTATTTCCCGAAGCTTAACAAGCTAGTCATAGAAATGTTTAAGGTAATTTACTGATAACATTTTATTCTGATTGTTAAAAAGTAATTTCTATTTATTTGTATACCAATTTAAATTATAAATGGTATGATACACAGGAATCGCACTAATTATTTATATCGATATATACAGATATGATGAGTTATGTGTCCACGCCCCATAACTTAGAACTCATCTTTCCATGACAGCTATATAATATGGTTGTTCGATCCGCCATTATGAGTGAAGCCGGATATGTGGCCAGAGTCAACTGAGGGAGTTCTGCGGATATAGGACAAAAATTATTTGACAGGCTGATGGACGGATAAACGGACTTGGCCTTATCGACTCGACTTGTGATTGTTGAATTCCTGTATTTATGTACTTTACATATTTATGCTGTGTGAAATAATGATAATCTCGACAAGGCCTTACAAATGAATCTTTGCTGTTTATTGGCTAGAGATTCGATCAATATATATATTTTGAATTGAAGATAGAATAGGCCCATACAATTTGTACGTGAGATGCGCTAAACTAGTGATAACAAGAGAGAACGTTGCAGTCGTGGGTAACCGACTGCGAAATACTTTGATACCATAAGTTATATCATCTGATAACAGGTTCCACAGAACTGGGTGGGTATGGTCAAGAAATATCGACCTTTGAAGGAAATTTTTAGTAATCTTCACTTTTGAGAATTTTGAAAAAAAAAAATGTTGGAAAAGTATCCTAGCTTCCTTCTAAGTCTGATAACTCTAGGTATTAAATAGCGTTATATATGCTTTTATATATTTTGGGGGGACTGGGCATGGCCAAATCAATTTTGGGAGAGGATCTTAGTAATCTACCTTTTAAGTTTGCTAACTATAGTTTTTAAATTGGTTAAATTGGTCCAACATATTTTCGGGATTTAGGGGAGATACCAGTAACATACTTTCTAAATTTTTGGGATTCTAGCTTACAAACTGTGGAAGACATGTGCATTTCAGATTTCCAGGGCCAACGATCATGGGGGCGGCAGGTGTGGCCGTGGTCTGAAAATATATATGCCGATCTTTGAAGGAGGTTACCAGCAAGTTACTTTCCAGGTTTGGTCACTCTATCCTTAAAATTGTGGGAGATATGCATTTTTATCGATATACACTTCGAAAAACCGGTTTTGGCGATTATGGTCACAGGTGTGTAACTTTTTTAATCGATTAAAAGCGGCTACCAGTAATATACCTACCAAATTTGACGGCTGTCACTCAAAAACTGCGGAAGATATAGGCATTTTAAATTTGTGGGGCGGGCGGCGGAGGTGCGCATGGCATTTGCCGATCTTTGAAAGACATCGCTGACACCTTACCAACCAAATTTGGTGACTTTAGCCTTCAAATTGTGGGAGATATGTGGCTTCGATTTGCGATTATCGAAATTTTCGATTTCCTAGCCCCCGAGTGGACGTTGCACTCCAATTTTGACATTTTGTTTGACGCGGGTACATATTTATATCTAAGGGTGTCGAAAAAAGTTGCGTTCATACAGATGGACAGACAGCATGACGGACATTGCACAAAAGCAATATACTAGGCAATGCGGTCAGGGTAACGCCTCGTTAGCAATATGCTTGCCCACTCAGTATTCGTTAACGGGGAGCTCCAAAATATTCAAATATACAACTGCAGACAGTGAGTCGAGCCGAGTCGATAAACTGGAATGTACAGATAAATATTTATTTGCATACACAGGTAAATGTGTATTTACATAACAGTTTTTGATAGTAGTAGTGATAGTCAAGTGGCGTAAAAGCCCAGACAGGTTTCTCACTTTTGTTTTTATCCATTTCTTTTTTGGGGGCGCACGACTTTTAAACAATACAAGTTTAACTTCAAGTTAGTCGCCAGCATATGCGCTGGCATTGTTAGCCTTAAATTGTGTGAATGTGGCTCACAAAATGCGTTCACTTTCAAAATGCTTTTTTTATTGGGGTAATGTTTTAATTGAGTTCTGTTTGGCGTCTGTCAGTCTGGTGATTCGATAAGTGGGCTTAAGTTGTCAATTTGGTTCAATGCTAAACGCACTTTCTGATAGCAATAACCGATCAAAATTAATATGCTATGCTATTCAACTGATTACAGATCGAATATTTGTGCGATGTGGAGCTGAGCTGATCTTAGTTATGCGTTCACGGAGCTACTGTTGAGATCACCCCACAGGGACAACAAGTGAAAGAAGACAACAGCAAGCAAGTGAAGCAACGAGGTCGTGTTGAGTTGCCAAAAAGTGTAGTAACGAGTAACAAGCACAGAGTAACGAGCAGCGAGTAACAAGAACGAAAGCTGATTCAACGAGCGGAGGCGGAAGCTGAATTTGGTTGGTTGTCGTGTCAGCATCGTCATACAGAAATGACACTGACCACAACGGCCACACCACCGAAGAGCAATAAGAAAATGGATGTGAAGGTTTTACCAGCCGAAGAGAATCTGCCCACCTCTGAAATGGATCTACTCGCCAAGCTGGAGGCCGCCAACAAGCTAATTGAAAGCGATGCCAAGAGCCTTAACTCGCTGCACTCAACGCATAGTCGCAAAAACTCGGACACGAGCCAAATAAGCATTACTTCAAGTGAGTGTAACTAATTAATATTGAAGGAGAAACAGCAAACAGAAATTTGATAATTAATTATTTTCACCACATTGCAGGCGGCAATTCGGTTGCCGAGGAGGATATTTGGACGACATGGGCGTCCATATTGAATGATTGGGAGGGTGCTCTCAAGCGCAAAAATCCGTGTGTCCGTGAACTGGTGCGTCGCGGCATACCGCATCATTTTCGCGCGATTGTCTGGCAGCAGCTGAGTGGCGCTGCCGATGCTGATAAGAAACAGTATGCAGAGTATATTAAGGCGACGTCCGCCTGTGAGAAAGTGATTCGGCGCGATATAGCGCGCACATATCCGGAGGTGGACTTCTTCAAGGAGAAAGACGGGCCCGGCCAGGAGGCGCTCTTCAATGTGATCAAGGCATATTCGCTGCACGATCGCGAAGTGGGCTATTGTCAGGGCTCCGGTTTTATTGTTGGGCTGCTGCTCATGCAGATGCCCGAAGAGGAGGCGTTTGCGGTGCTTGTGCAGATAATGCAACAGCATCGCATGCGGCATATGTTTAAGCCATCGATGTCGGAGCTCGGTCTATGCATGTACCAATTGGAGAATCTGGTACAGGAGCAAATACCCGACATGCACTTGCATTTCCAGCAGCAGGGCTTCCAGACGACCATGTATGCGTCCAGCTGGTTCTTAACGCTCTACACGACCACAATGAATGTGAACCTCAGCTGCCGCATCATGGACGTCTTTCTCAGCGAAGGCATGGAATTTATTTTCAAGGTTGCAATGGCACTTCTTTTAACCGGTAAGGAGTCGCTCCTGTCCCTCGACATGGAGGCCATGCTCAAGTTTTTCCAAAAAGAGCTACCTGGGCGCGTCGAGGCCGATCCGGAAGGCTTCTTCAATCTGGCTTATGCACAGAAAATCAATACAAAGCGCATGAAGAAAATGGAGAAAGAGTATCAAGACTTGAAGAAAAAGGAACAGGAGGAGATGGTTGAGCTGCGACGATTGCGGCGTGAGAACTGCTTGTTAAAACAGCGCAACGAATTGCTCGAGGCTGAAAGCGCTGAGCTAGCCGATCGTCTGGTTCGTGGTCAAGTCTCTCGCGCCGAGGAAGAGGAGACCAGGTGCTTAATTATTCCCCACATACATACATACATAAGTACGGATTGTATTAAGTCAATAATCAATTTCCCTTTTCATCCATTTGTTGTCAGCTATGCCATTCAAACGGAGCTAATGCAGCTTCGACGCTCCTATTTGGAGGTGTCGCATCAACTTGAGAATGCCAACGAGGAAGTGCGCGGTCTCAGTCTGCGGCTACAGGAAAATGTAAGTGTTGCCTAACGCCCAAATTCATTAATCGTCGCTATTCTCAGTTGTATTGTAACTAAAAACCGAAAAAAGCCGTGCTAAAGCAATAGTAAGCTGTTTGTTAATAATTTCTGTCTTTCTTTTCCATTCTGTTTATTTCTTATGGTTATGGTGCTTAAAACAAAAACAAATATCCCAATATCTCAAAAACGTTGATCCACATCTTAAACGTTTGCACAATTAAATATAAAAAAACAATAAACAATAAATAAAACAAACAAAACTACAAACGTATAATTTGCTCAACGCCAAACAGAACGTTTCAATCGATAGCGTAAGTATCGCAACTTTCTAGACATGTATATGCATATACACACACACATATATATATATATATATATATAAATATTTAGGCCTCGTAGGTTTTTGTTGTGGTTGTTTTTTTTTAACAGTTGCATATCAATATTGAAACTACGTTGATTTACTTTGCATGTATTTTATCTTTGAATTTGTATACTACTTATTAGATTGTTGTCTTTTAACCCAACTCACACATTGTGCCCATAATGTATCTGTTCTCGTTTAATCTCAGGTTAAGCTTAATTTAATATTTCTACTGTATTTTGGAAGCTATCGATAGGTATTCAGTTGAGTGTATTACTCGAATGTTTTAAATTATCGATGGCTTTCAGGTTGTGATTTTCACATTATCTATAGACATATGCATGCGATATTTAGCAAGCGCCAGTTGTAAGCTGTTTTCAAAGCTTGTGTTGTACTCATTCAGAATAACTCGCGTCAGTCGTCTATCGATGAGCTAAGCATGAAGGAGGAGGCACTGAAGCAACGCGACGAGATGGTCTCCTGTTTGCTGGAGGAGTTAGTCAAGGTGCGCCAGGGCTCGGCCGAGAGTGAGGATCAGATACGAAATTTGAAGGCGAAAATCGAGGAGCTCGAGGAAGATAAAAAGACGCTGCGGGAAACCACGCCGGATAATTCCGTAGCCCATCTGCAAGACGAGCTGATTGCCAGCAAGTTACGCGAGGCGGAGGCCTCGCTCTCCCTCAAGGATCTCAAACAGCGCGTACAGGAGCTTAACATGCAGTGGCAGCGACAGTTGGCCGAAAATCAGCGTAACGATCACTGCGCCGCCTCGGTTGATTCCACACCCAAGAAACTCCTAACGAACTTTTTCGACAATTCCAAGTCGACAGAGCACACTCAAAAGCTCGAGGAGGAGCTAATGACGACGCGCATCCGTGAAATGGAAACGCTCACAGAGCTAAAAGAGCTGCGGCTGAAGGTGATGGAGCTGGAGACACAGGTGCAGGTCTCCACGAATCAGCTGAGGCGGCAGGACGAGGAGCACAAGAAGCTCAAGGAGGAGCTCGAAATGGCCGTCACACGCGAAAAGGAGATGGCCAACAAGGCGCGCGAACAGCAGCACAGGTGAGTGATGAGCAAAAAAAAAAAAAAATTAACTAAAAATTTTACCCGACTTTGGCACATTTCAGATACTCAGATCTGGAATCTCGCATGAAGGATGAACTGATGAATGTCAAAATTAAGTTCACCGAACAGAGCCAAACGGTTGCCGAACTGAAACAGGAAATTTCACGATTGGAGACAAAGGTAAGTTCATTTCTTTATTTGCATACTCTGACTAATTTATTGTAACTTTCAGAACTCGGAAATGCTTGCCGAGGGTGAACTGCGCGCTAATCTAGATGATTCCGATAAGGTGCGTGACCTGCAGGACAGGTTGGCTGACATGAAGGCGGAGGTATGTGTTGCCAACGGCTTACGTCGATCTTTTTTTTGGTTTTCTATTTCGGTTTCGGGCTTTTAATACTGACCGCACCCAATCCACCACATCACTATTATAGTCACAAACTACTAAACATACGCCCACTAGTCGTGTACATATTTACACATACTAGTGTAACCCCATCTTGCACCGTCGAAGTGCATTCAAAAGACCATTTAAATGGTGCAGTTAGCCTTACTTAAAAAAAAAAAAAACAATTACAGTTCATGCTAACTTCGCATCAGCCTATGTGCTTTGGGCGTGGTCTACGCTTTTCATTTTTAGTTCTCCGCTATTTGTATATTTTTCTGTGCGTTTTTTGTATTTTGAAACTGTTCAAGATAATAATGTCATTGTTTCTTATTAAATCTATTTCTCACTCCATACACAAAACTATGCGTCTCTAGTATCCCACGCCAATAACCAGCCCCGACACTGAACCGTGGAAATGGATAAGTTAAGCTAATTGAAAAAGAAAATGCAAAACAAGCCAACAAATTCATCATCGACCTGCCAAATGCATATTACCTTAAATTCCAGTTACTTCTTAATCAAATTCAACACAAAATCATCAAATCAAATTGATAAAGAAAGTTCAGTTCCCTTAAGCTGACCCTTCCCAATTATTGTCAATATTGCAGTATGTACCCAAGTACTTAGTAATTTTCTTTATAGAAATTGTTGTCCATTTTATTTGCTCTTAAATACGTTTAGTGTTTAAAGCACACTTTTTAGTGTCTCTATGTTTCAATTTGAGCATTTCCCACTGCCTGCTGCCTGCTGCCTCTCTCTCTCATATTTATCTAGTTTGTCGATAATAGTACGCATCCTATTGTTCTCCATGACATCAACATATATTCATACATTATGTATCCCTTTACCTTATGTATTCCCTTTCGCCAAAAATGTTTGATATTTTTACTTACAAAAACAGTAAAAAATGATTAAGTTAATTAAGTTTTAAGTAAAACTCAAATCGCCTCTACATTGAATAATAGATGAAATCTATACTAATGTTTTTTTTACAAGATATCTGTTAATTATATCGAAACGTGTTTGCTCGTAAATTTTGGTTAAGCTTTCCATATATTTAAAATGCTAAATTGAATATTTGGTATCTGATCTTTAATCATTACATATTACATGTATATACATAATTAATCGATGTTAACAAATTTCATTTCATATCTCTCGCTTTCTTTTATTATTTTTCATAACCAGATATGCCTGTAAGTATCATCTATCTGCACTCCTGTATATATCTACAAACATACGTGTTCGCATCTTTAAAATGTAACTGGTTTGGTTTGGTTTCTGTTGTAGTTTTAGATATACTTAGTGTCTTATAGTTCATTATAAACTAAGCTTAGTTGTAAATGTTCAAACACACATAAACACACACATGCAAAACTAATCACTAATAAACACAACCAAATAACGTAAACGTAATGCATGCATACATACGCAAGTATAAAGTACAAAAACTGACACTAATCGGTCAACATAATTTCCTGCTGCAGTTGACGGCGCTTAAAAGTCGAGGAAAATTTACGGCCAACAAGCTGCGCAGCGCCTCCATACAGTCCATCGAGTCGACAGAGATCGATTTAAGTGATCTCAACATGGTGCGTCGCGGGAGCATGGATTTATCCACATAATATTCAGAGCAGACGACGGCACACATTTACATACATATACAAATGATATTGTTGAAGCAATCCCCTTATATAGATCCATACTGTTAAATGGATTAAGTGGTTAATGTTAATGGTTGAATGCATATACCTGACTAACTGTGTGTGTAGCGGTCACAAGCAAGGTTTGATGATGTTGAAGTTCAATTAAAATATTCATTACCTATTTCTAAAGTAAAAGTAATATTATCTATGTTTGTATGTTTTGAACCATTTTTTTTGCACTTCATTGTATGTTTTTATATATTGCTGTTATGTTTGATGAAAACACATACCACTTACTTTTATTTATTGATATGAATAGTTTTTTCACAACTGCTAAATAATACATATATATATATATATACATATATATATATATATTTTTTTTTTTACATATGTAGTATATGCAAACATAAATATAATGAACATTATGTATTTTATCTACCCAACATTTTTAATGTAAGTTTTAAATTGAGAAGCTAAAAATATTAAATAACAGACAAGAACAGCTATCTTAGGCACGCCGAAGATTATATACCTTTGCAGACCTCGAGTCCACTATAGCACCCAACTAATTGATTATATGATGTATAAAAATGTTGGATGTCCATTTATTGTCAAAATGTTAGGAGCATATAAACACTCGTTATTAGTTTTTTTAATCCGGATATCTCAATGAACAAAACAAGTTGATTATTCAACAGTTCTTCAACCGACAAATTGTTCTCATGGAAGCTATTTGATATAGTGGTCCGAGCCGGCCGATGAACATATATGTCCCAACTTTCATCGGGATAATTGTAATCCTAAGCGATTAGCTCACATAGAAACACATGGACAGACGAATATGACTATATTGAGGCTGATCAAGAATATATATACATTGTAGTATCGTAGGATATCTCCATCAACGCGGTTACAGACTTTTCTGCAAGGGTATAAACGAAAATATGGAAAAAAATATTGAGTTTTTAACGTAACTATTTTTAAAATTATTACAATTAAAACTATGCAAAACTGTCTAAATACGTTTTTGCTTATATTTTATATTGCTTACCTCTTCAAGTCTAGATACGTGTAGTATGATATGGCTGATATTTTGTAAACTTTTCCACACACACACACGTGTCTGAAGCGAATTTGTAACTCCTCATCGTATAGTTAACTAAGTTTGACATAATTATGAATATTGTATGTATATATACATACCTGTACACAAATAATACGAACATATTTAACGTATTCTGTAGAACCATACACACCCAAACAACAGGAATATAAACTTTTGCAATAAGCATTAATACGAAAACGAAGTGCGAAAAAGTTTTATATATAATGTTCAAACATGTAACAAGCGTTGCCAAAATGTAATGACTAAAACAAAAACTCTATAAGCTATTTATAAAATAGTACGAACCAGAACCTCGAGATAAGCAATGAATTGCAAAGCTCCCTTAACTTACGATATTCCAAATACGATATTCGGTCAATACAATGAAACCAAGTAGTTGATACACACATACATATTATATGCATACACAGCACATATATATTTACACAATTTTATATTGATACATGTATGTGTACAGCGCATCAATTATTTACTTAAAATTGTCTCTCGAATGGGTCTGCGATCTACCGATTTTGGCAATTTGTAAAAGTAAAAAACAAAACAAATCTTAAAAAAATATGAGCAAGAGAAAAGGGTGTAATTAAGGTTCAGCTGTTTTCCAAGTGCAATAATTAATTGAATTACGTTCTTTATTAGTTCTTAAGCATTGTTTTATTTTTACTATTATTATTTTTTTATACGTTTTTAATTTCATTTTGTTACTTCCTGTATACTGAAGTCATATTGTATTTAATTAACCGAATGTATTTTTATTCAGTAAACGCGCTTCCAATATTCTTTGATTTGCACTACATGACAAGACCAAATACATCCTTGCATATGTACAAGTACATCATGCTCGTATGCACATATGCATATACATGTATATATAGCTCTAATTGAATAATATGTCACAATTGTTATTAGTCCAGTTAATAATGCATAACTATATATATTTATTAACATGTTGCACCTAGTTTCTTCGTATCTTTCAATATCTAATAATGATAAAAACAGAACTCTGGAGATACAAAATGATTTGGCATAAAAGTGGATATTTTAATATTTTTATTTTGTGTCCTAATAGCAGGTGCATGTAAGAAAATCTAACAAATTCGCATTTTAAAATGTCTCAGAGTTCTTTTTAATGCGTACATTCCCAATTCATTAATATTCAATATATAAAGTTTCCAATCCCTTGGTATTTCTGAAATTATAGATTAAAATATAAGTGTAACATGCTAGTAAATATATTATTGAGTATGTGTAAGACAAATCTCGACAGCAACTTAACGTATTAGTTAAATGTGTATTAGTTAATGCGCACAATATTATAATATTACAATCATACATGGCATTTTCTGTGTATCGATCAACTAATATGTGCACTATATTTTTGTATACCTTAGTTCGATATTTGCGTTCACTCAAAACGTATTGACACAAAGAATTTACATTAAATTTAATTAATAATTAAAGTTAAGCTCTCTCACATACACAGGCAAACACAAAAATCGACAACAATAAATAAGTAATGGGCAAAACATATCTGTAAAACATTTCTTAGCATATATGTGTATGTATGTATTTATTTGAAACGTGGACGAAGTGCTTTCAAGAATATGAAAAGATTTGAAAATTGCTCATAACTTAGATTTTCATTAGAGAGAGAGAAAGAGAGGGAGAGAGAGAATAAAATTGTATATAAAGGCAGCCCAGATCGATTGTCATTTACCATTTTTCCCCCTCTAGTCGAACTATTGGCGTATATATTTACCAGTTGACTGAACTTCTCAGCTGACTAATTGAGTTTTGTGAAATTTCATTGCACAATTTGAAAGTGATTTATCAAATTGTAATACAAATCACATCTGAGTGGAATTTGTTAACAGTTGGGAGGGGCAGACAGACTTGTAGCTGTTTGCCTTGAAATGCTGTTGTCAGCACAGTAAATAAATACATACATATTTATATACCTATAAATATTGAACATGTAAATTTGAAATATATAATGAATATAATATATGAATGAATCAACTTCCATTTAAACAATTAGCTGAAAATGGTTTAAATTAACATGAGTTTTAATTATTTTGTATTTTCTAAAAATGTTTTATTTGTATATTTGGTTTGTTGTTACTTGAAACAGATTTTTATACATACACACACACTCATATACAAACACACACACAAAACACAATACATTGAGAATAATGCCTATATATAGGAATTAAATTTATAAAATACCGGAAGTTTTTGCTTATGTACGCAAATGAACGTAAAATTTACATTTGTAGAAAATACTATTGAAATATTGTGTTGTAATTGTTCCAAAACTTATAAAACCGAATAAATCTGAAGACATTTAGTAGTCGTATACATATACCATTATGGTATGCTAGAAGATTTTGTGGACCGTTGTTAAAACAACAAATTCAATCACTTCGTAATTCACAATTTACAAGGCTGAGGCCAGCAAATAAAAACTTAAAATTAAAAATCTATGAAAATCAAACAACAGAATCTTCGTATACATTTTAGTATCAATCACAAGTACATGCATACGAGCAAATAAAATGGTAGACACATCAAAATGTCAATTACAACCGTTGTTTTATTGTCTGACTGTGGCCTTCGATTAAAGTGATTTTGTATATTCTCCGATTTATCGTTCATCTACAGGCTAAATTAGATTAGATTTTACAAACTTTAATGTCCCAAACCCCTTGACTTTTAAAATTGTAATTAATAGATGTTGGCTCTACCCAATAAAACACGAGTATTTTCATTTTTTCGCGCATTTACTTCACTAGGGAGTATATGTATGTATTTATGTAGTTGTGTATAGGTATTAATTTAGTTAAATAATATCAATATAGTTATGTATGTATGCCTCAATTAGAAAGCACATTAACTTTGGCTACCCATTTTATCTTTCAGTTTATGTTCATCTTGGTGCTCTTGGTGGGTATACTTGGTAATGCTGTGAGCCATTTGGGCAAAAACTGTTCATTCGACATACAGATTTAAATCTAGTTTTTAACGTGTTCCATTAATATCTATAACCTAACAACAATGTTCAACAAAAAAAAAAAAAAACATTTAAAAAAATACGCATTATAAGCTGCTTGAATCGACACAAACAAAAAAAAGATTGGATATACTTATATTCTAGTATGTTTTGATTGTGTATGACTGCGCTGATTGCTAACTCCGCCTAGGAGGCGGGTCCGGGTCTGGTAAACAACATCAGGCTGCTGGGCAACTGCAGATGCAAGACGATTTCTACTCGTCCAAGCAAATGGTACGCAGAATGGCTTCCACCACTGAATAGGGATCACAATTGGAGCTGGGGCGTCGATCCTCGAAGTAACCCTTGCCATCATCGTTGACGCCGCGAGGTATGCGTATGCTGCAACCACGATTGGCCACACCAGCGCTAAAGTCATTGATCGAGCTGGTCTCGTGCTTGCCTGTCAGGCGGCGTGCGTTGTCTTGTCCCTGTTTGGGATCATAGGCACGAATGTGGCGCTCATGGCATTTGGATAGCTTAGCCACAGCCTTCTCAATCTCCCGTATGCCGCCGTCCTCGCGCATCACTTTGGTGGACACATTGGTGTGTGCGCCGGCGCCGTTCCAGTCGCCCGGCATTGGCTTGGGATCCAGGGTGGCCACAATCTGTACAAATAAGCAAGCTATAAGCTGGAGCTAAGCGTTAATAATAATAGACTTACACCAAACTCCTCTGAGATGCGATGTAGGAGGAAGCGTGACATCCAGAGGTCATCGCCGATCGAGATGCCTAGGCAGGGACCCACCTGGAACTCCCATTGAGCAGGCATCACCTCCGCATTGGTCCCGGACACCTTAACGCCAGCATAAAGGCAGGCACGATAGTGAGCGTCGACAATGTCGCGAGCGTAGACCTTGGTATTGGGTTAGAAGTTGGGATATCTAGTAAATGGAACATCTCTTGTCGTTAATTCGTTTTGGGACTCACTTTATTAGCACCGACGCCGCAGTAATAGGGACCCTGTGGGCCGGGGAAACCGTTCTTGGGCCATCCAAGCGGATGGCCATCGAAGTCAAGGAATGTGTATTCCTGCTCAATGCCAAACCAGGGCTCTTCATCCGCGCACTTATTGACCACTTCGAGGCACGACTTCCGCTTATTGGTGGCGGTGGGTGTTCCATCGAACTTGTAGGTGTCGCACATAACCAAAATGTTGTTGCCTCGTCGGAATGGATCCTTGTAGATGGCAACCGGATAGAGATAGGTATCCGAGTTGCTGCCCTCCGCCTGATAGCAAGAGCTGCCATCATAGTTCCAAATAGGCAATTCTGCAGAGTTTCAAAATAAATTGGGAGCATGTGAACTGTGGCCATTAATTGCAGTGGCCTCTTATGTCAGTTAGCCGCTAATTTGTGCCACAAATGTGAAATGCAATACTCAAAATAATTAGTGGTAATTGGTTTCCATTTCCATCAGCTGCAATAAATGCGACTTTCTGCCTTAAAAAACAAAAATTATGAAGCTACTGTCACTTTTCACAATAATGTATAATACCCTTCAAATGTATGTAATACATATTGTTTTAGGTATATCATGTAATGCAATATAATAGAATATAGCTGAGTACTTAATAGGCATATGCAAATTACTAAAAATAGTTATTGCGCAGTTATGCATTAAGTTTCGTAACCACAACAGCAACAATAAAACAACAATAACAACCGAATCCAAATAGACCCAACCCAGTTTATCATCGTTGAACCAACCTAACAGCTGCTACTAGAAAAGTTGCGATGCATTTTAATCAGCGGCAAACGAGCCACACGCATGATCGAAGATCACATGAATTTCCAATCTTTGGCGATGGTGCATGTCATCACAGTTGCCACTTAGGCCTCCGTCGTGACAAAAAGGAAAACACGAGCACTAAACTCGACACGACTCAACACAACGGGCTCATTCTTAGTAATTTGTTTACGTGCGTGTTTATTTAAATCGTATCGACTCATTAACACAATCAACAACGATGCCATGCTTAACTAAAAACAAATGTATACTTAAATCAATGTGAATAAATATAATTGGGGTAATTTAGAAAAGAATTGTGATAATCAATTCAGCTAAAATAATTGCAATTGTGGAGGCAAAAAGAAATAATAATTATGATAATAAAAGTAATATATATTAAACATACAAATGTTGTATATTGAGGTGGTAGCAAGGCTCCAAAAGGAAAACATCTAAATCATATTTTCCAAAAAAGTTATAAGCATTGCATAACATTGAACTTTATACTAAACTATTTTAAATATGTGTATTTTGGATGCATAAGTAGGGGTAACAAGTACATATATAGGAGTACATATATATATTGTATCCAGTATCAATGATGTTATTTAATATATAAAATAACAAATTTGAACTGCAAAACGATGTCTCTACTGTTAACGACCGCAAATAAATAAAATATGTCGGAAAGTAAAATTTAATTTACTCGCTTTCCTGTTTCAATTCGAGGCTTGTTGTATTTGATCAGCAATTAATAAGTCAAATTCAAACATTGACCTTAAGCGAAACCTTAAAGGAAGATCACTAAAATCCCTGCTAAGCTTAAATGTTACGTACAGGTTCCTATTCAAATGTTTGATCGTGCTACGGCAAACGCTCTCTAGTTTTTTGCAATATTTATAATTTATGTATTTTAGGCTAAGATTCTCAATTTCTTTAACACAGCTATTGAGAGATGTAGAGAGGAAGAGTGAGTTTGCAAAAGGTGTAGCTGGTCAGTTGGCAGTAGCATTGTTGCCTTTGGCAAACGTAGAGAGGTCGTAATTATGAGAACCTACCGTACCGTGTAACAGCGTCAAGTGTTACCTTGAGTGTCCGATTTCATTTACAATCTCGTCCCTCAAACTGACGTTTGACTGCTCATTCCCGCATCTAACAGCGTACAGTATCACGGGTCTAGGGCATTCCAGGGTCTAGATAAATCCTAAGTTTACCTTGTACATATATCAAATGCCTTCGAAGGATGACCAGTAATTGGGCCAACTTATCGATTGTATTTGCCATGCAGCTCAGCCCAATTTACGTTGCATATTCAATGTGGCTAGTGCGATTGCTTTAACCCTTAAATGTTATAAGCAATCCCCGCCAAATCACTTGGCAATCATTTTTCAAGTTCATCATACACACAACGCCTACAGCTAGAAAAGCAGACCGCTTGGTATTTTTCCCAGGCACGCGTCGTTGGCGTGCCAGCAACACTGGCAATATTACGTATTCGCCACAGCTGCTGGATGTCACTGTGACGTTGCGTTTGTGTTGTGAGATTCCTAATTAGTCATTGTGCACATTAAGTCTTCTGTGTTGCTATATGCAACAAAAAACATCTAATATACTTTGTGGGTAAGTGCATAAGCGTTATCTTTAGATATAAAATAAAGAATATAAAATCATATTATCATATATAACAAAAGCATAATGTAGGAAATGAGTATAAATAAATAAACACATGGAAACACACGCTTTGTAGTTATATAAAGTGTTTCCTGAACTAAACTTTGTTGTCGCTATTGAATTGTTGCTGCACTTTCGAGTTGAAATTATTTAATTGATTTTTTGCGCTACTATTAAATGCATACGTTTGTGTGTAACCAGTTTTTTTAATATTTTTTTTTAAAGTTATATACTATTATATACTTTTATCTATTGTGTTTAACTATATGTGTAAATAGTGTAGTCTAACTATATACTCTGCTAAATGGTATAGTAAATTCGCATTCTCATAATAAGCTCAATGTAATACGCATATATCGCGGTGCTTCATAAAAATCTTTTTATTATTGACTCTTTTCTGTTTTTTTTTTTATTATTTCGGTGCCATTCTTAAGCACACGTGTCGCCTCTAATTGCGCTCATATACTGATTAGGTGTATTCATTTGTAATTGCTAAGCAAAATCATTAAACGTAACAAATATCAGCGGTAAATTCCTTTTAAGTTGTACGCCATATAAGCGAAATCGCAATATCAGACTTCTATATTAAAAATTCAACGCCTGCAAATATAACAGGAAATATAAACGATTGTACATAAACTTTCGTTCGTGCCAATATTGATAGAGCGAAAGATAGCTCAAGTGAAGGATGTTTTGCACAATGAACACGATATATTTAGGTTCAGCTGAATAGCTTAATCTTTTTATAAGTCGCACTTAAGACTCGTTGAATATGTCTATATATATCAGCAGAAAGATAGCTCAGACTATTTGGCAACTATGTATAATTGCAAGGCTTAGTTTGGCTATAATATTCTGGAGTAGCACTTACCCTTTGGGTTCGATGGTATAAAGTCAAGGGTGCGATCCTTGCAGCGCAGATCCTCACCAGTGCCGTCGATCCAAATGTAGGTAGCCTGTACAATGTTATCCTCTACGGGCAGAGTGAGATAACGATCCAAAATGGTTTTATTTATGCGCGCATTGGGCGAGTCTTCCAAAATTCTAGCAGACATACTGAGGGATTAATGTGATGGATTTGGGTATGGTTTTTTTGTGTGTCGGGAAATGTGTAGAAATGAAATTAATATTAATCAATTAACTGTTACACTTTATTTGAACGCGCTCGTTTAGTTTTCTGCACACCTGTTTTCGATTTGTTGAATTTAGCTTGAGAAGGCGAGTTTATTATTTGTAAGGAAAAATTTGTTAGTTTTAAATGTTTTATGTTGTTCGCTGAGTGGGTAGCGCGCGTAACCTTTACTGGAACACGACTAAGCTAGAATGCGTTATTCCAACTCAATTTATAATGTCAGACTAAAACCCAAGCGACAGCAGCAACAAATTGTTATTACTGCTACTACTTACAACAAACTGAGCGGATAGCCATCGGACGCAGCAGCAGCAGAAGCAAAAACAGCATTGAATCAAAACAAGTGAGAACGTTTTACCGGGACGTAACCGACTGCATAATACTCAGCCGATGATCAGTCGAAAAGCGGTGAAGAGAGCCGGGTGCGGTGGTGGGCGGGAAATTGTTCAACCTTTGTAAATGGTTGCCAGCAATCGATCTTGATATGTCTTCGATAAAGGTGAATCTAGCTCCATGGCAAATTTGTAGGAAATTTTTAAGAAACTTAAATGGAAGTTATCAGACAATTGTGGAAAGCCTTACTCCAAATTTGTATGAGCTATATGGTAATATAATTTTGAAATTATCTTTAAGGGTGATTATCGAAAAACGTACCTTCCAAATTTGGTGACCTGCTTTAAAAAACTAGGAAATATATAGGGTTTCTTTTGTTACTTTTTGGTGATTTATCGATTTGCCAACAAAAAAGCATATATATATATATAGTATATACATATAACAATATATAAAAACCAATATACGCTTCGTCGGTATGTGAGTATAGATACAAAAGCAAAGTCAATTGCTACTAATGACGCCGACGCAGCACCACCAATGGCGACTGCGACTGAGGCAGCGACAGAGGTCGCAACGCACCCACAACCCACAATTCCGGCGGCCTCACAGCGGTGTAGGCGGCAGCGTCAGCGATGGCTTCTTCACCCTGTAGTTGCTGCATGATCGGAATACAGCGAAAGTCACCACGGTTCCTGGTAGAGGTGCGTATGATCACGATATAACGCTATACGATGTGACAGGAAAGTATTTGCAACAAAGATCTTGTCATATGCCCAACTAGTTTATGTATTCTGTATGAACCGACGCTCAGAATTCAGATAATCTACTTGTTTCTATAAATAGACATTTTTAAAATTGCCTATATTAGGTTAAGTTAAGCTGCAACGGGGCAATTTATCATTTAGATTTGCATCCAGATTTAAATGTTATGTGCACTCCTTAACTGAATACAGTGTGCATTTGAAAGCCTCTTGCATAAAAAAACAAACAAAGCAAAACACTGCAATTGCAAATAATGGCTGGAACGCACGATTTTGAATTGAAAACTATCGGTGGCTAAATTAAACTGCACGAGACCTTCGTTTATCAAAATGTGCACATCACTAATACCGATGTCGACATAGATTACAGCAGAACGTCAACATTTTGCGATATTCAACGTCATTGCTATCGTTTTGATGTCGAATATGTACATACTATAAAAATATGCACACATGTACAGTGTCTCGCAGTTCAACTGGAACAGCGCCTAGCAAAAAATGTAATTGCCTGCCATAAACTAATTATTGAATATTTTTCAAAAATTCCAAAGACCGATGGCAGGTACATATATTAACCACCTAAATGACTATATGACCCCAATAAACTGGGGTTTCCCCACCTGCTAGGCCGGGTTATGTAAAAAAGTACCTTAATTTGTGGTCACATATTATTTGGACCAGGGGCGTTATGGACACCTGGGTGCTATAAAACACGGATTTTTTACGTCAGGTTGCTTATTTTCGGGATAAATAGACCAATCCTTCGTTGTCAGTTTAGTTATATCCTGCATATCGGGTGCAACCAGCCAACAAGGACTATGGACAAACGGACCACAATTGAACAATGGAATCTCATCCTGGAACACTTCAAGATCGGATATTCACATCGCCAAATAGCTAAAATGGTAAATCTAAGCAAATCAACTGTATTCAACATCATTCGGCGCTTCGTCGACGAATATCGGATAGAGGACAAGGGCAGAATGGCACCAAACAAGATTTTCACCGAACAGGAGGAGCGGAGGATCATCAGGAAAATAAGGGAAAATCCCAAGCTATCAGCTCCAAAACTGACTCCACAGGTGGAGGATGAAATGGGGAAAAAGTGTAGTGTGGAAACTGTGCGCCGGGTTCTGCGCAACTATGACTTTAATGCCCGAGTACCACGGAAGAAGCCCTTTATAAGCGCACAAAATAAAGGGACTAGGATGACATTCGTCAAAATCCACTTGGACAAGGATTTGGAGTTCTGGAACACATTCATATTTGAAGATGAGCCCAAATTCAACATTTTTGGATTAGTCGGACGGAATTATGTGTGGCGACAGTCCAATACTGAGCTGAGTCCCAAAATCCTAAAGGCAACAGTCAAGCACGACGGAGGAAGTGCCATGGTATGGGCATCTATCTCGGAAGCCGGCGTCGGAAATTTGGTGTTCATTGAAACAACAATGGACAAGAATGTGTATTTCACTATAATAAAGGAAAATTTACTCCAAAGTGCCGAGAAGCTAGGAATCCGGCTTACTTTCCAGATCTACCACGACAACGACCAGGACAACAGCCAAGCATAAGTCCGGATTAGTACAGTCCTGGCATATCTGGAACTGCCCCCACATGATAATTCCACAGGCCCAGTCTCCAGACTTAAATGTTATTTAAAATTTGTGGGCTCTGCTGGAAAATAAAATCACAGATCCGATCTCAAAAATGCTCTGCTGGATGAGTGGAGCAAAATCAGTCCAGAAACGACCCGGAAGCTGGTATCTTCCATGAATAATAGGTTAGGGGAAGTTATTAGGGCTAAAGGATATCATACTAAGTACTAACATCCTTATTTAAGTTCTTATACGCCTAATATGTTACTTTTCTAAGACATATCATGATATATCATAAAACAAATTGACATTTAAACATTTTGCGTTTGTTTCTTTGTTTAAACTTTATAGCACTTTGAAATTTTTGCTAGACACTGCCGAAATAAGCTGTGAGACACTGTATGTATCTGATTAGACACTGATAAAAAATTAGCGTATTTTGTTCATAATTTGTTTTTGATAACTAAACAACAAATGTACTTATCTTTTTGAAAGTTAAAATGTTTGTTTAACTTACGATGAATGCATGCTGCAAAATATTTATGATATTTTTATTCGTGTTTGTTATTTCACACAGTTATTTGGCTAAAAAATGCGTATTTAAATAGGGTTTTGGTTACATGCGCGTAAGAAATAAAGTTCATAGATGTTTTTTATAATTGTAATTTATACCGAAAAACCATGTCTATGGAAAAAGTTTTTTCAAGATTTTTGTACATATATGATGAAAGTGCACGTATTTGAGTTCGCTTGATTTTATAGAAGACGCGTTTCGTCAGCGCATGAGATTTTTAGAGACTGTGAGGTTTTTTTGACGGACTGCACACTTAAAGCTTCGATTGACCAGCTTTTATACGCGGTGATTGCCCGACTTTGGCTGTGAAGGTGCGATACTAAGTCTTGATTATATTTATAATGTCTGGAAAAAACACACACATTGACCTGTGATGTGCTAATTACTAATACAAGATTCTCACACTTCGAGCTTGGCGTTGATAGCTTCGCATGGCCATAGCTAGGTATGGGCAACACGTAAGTTTCACAACCTATCATCCATTTCATGGGCATTTACCTTCAAATCCTTACTGTTTGAACAAATACCATCTGGGACATAAGATACATAGGATACATTAATAAACTTGCTCATTCTGCTTAAATGGTTCCTGGTTTGGTGATCTGCCTTCATCTTAAACTTTAACTAACGAGAACAGGCCGAATAGTCATCGACATGTACAGAAAAGTCACACAATATTACTGGAAAACTTAATATTCTTTTCCTACCTAATTCATTTTTATTTTTAAACATGCAGCTTGTATTATGAGTGTATATAGAAGTCAAATATAAAAAAAAAATTCTTCAGTCTATCTAAAAATAAACGCATATAAACGTCGACCTTGTCTTGAGGCTTGCATTTCTCATTCCAGATTCCAGTGCCGGTCTAATACAAATAGGATACGCAAAACAACTTTAAAGAACATTTGTAAAGGATATTCTCATTCTTTCTTCTCACAGAATAATATATCTTATATCCTTGTATATACATACCCATTTTTAATGTGTTCAGTCAATAAAAATGTATCAATTTAAAACTTCTTTTGTTTTCAATGCTTCGAAATTGGTAGCTAGAATTTGAACTTTTCGTGACGAATCAGAAGCTACAGATAAATTTAACAAAACTTATTGTAGCTAATTTAATATTTAATTAACAAATATCACATTAAATTAAGCAAACGTTAATTATTTGTATGTCGGTCGATCAATGACTATCAGCTGTTCCTCATTTCTCGTTCATCGTTCCTTTCGTTGAACTTCTCATGTTCCAACCGTTAGTCACGTAAATTGTGTATGAATACGTTGGACTTTCCGTCTGGCAATTTTTACGATCTGTTTGGAGAATCTGTTAAGACTAAACGAGTCGATTGAAGCCATAAAGACGGTCGCATTCTTTAATCACAGATAGTGTTTATTACTCCCTGTTCCAGACACGAATATGTCGATATAAGCAGCAATCCTATATGGCGTATGAGTAATCGAGGCAGGTGATTTGAAGAGGTCTAGCACCGACAGTTTATAATTGAGTGGAAAGACCGAAATCGATTTTGAACTTTTGAACGCTAAGCATTTGTTCATATATGCAACTCATCTTTAGATCAAGTATTCCAATTGCCGCTATATTGCATGATATTTCTGGAATCGATTTTCCAAAAGGCCAGTAATTGACGCTGATTTTATATTTTATTCCATGAACCCATTAAAAATGGGTGCTATAAAGTGTGTTACACATGAAACCCATTCTTAGTCAGGGTATAATAATAAAATCGAAATTTTATACACTCAAATTGGCGCATATAACTATTAACAATTTATGCTTTAAGCAGCTGAATTCTTTAACTTCTATTTAATCTATAATAAACTTATCTAATAATCATGTGCATAGTGGTGACAGCACCCAACGAGTGTATCCCTTATTATACTCGGAATTATCACATCAAGTTAATCAAGGGTGCATATATGGACATACATATGTATATGTACATGCGAATGCCAGCATCGTCAGTTCTAGTGGGTCCATCCAGCTAAAATTCAACCACTTGTGTGTACATTAAAAACAATGCCAGTCATTATCATCCAACTTGGTCAATTGACGGCTTGCCTCAATTTGTTGTAATTGGATTGCGTGTGAATGTTATTATTATTAATATATTCGTTGCTGCATGCCGGGAACGGATGGGGGAGTCAGGTGATAGTTTCAGTGCCAGTGCCTGTGCCAGTTGCGGCAGGCACCCCAGCGACCTGCTGCAATTTAGTAATAGCTACAAAATAGAATAAGTTCTGCCCCTTAAATTAGCGTTGATTCAATTTGCTAAAGTACTCGTATAACTTTTGTACAATCGCACGAAAGCCAATTTTGCACTTTATGTAACCGTTGCATTTATCATTGCTGTTTTTTTTATTCAGATCATTGCATCAATAAATTTTCATGGTACGACCTACAACCATCTTCTAATAATTTAATGTCATCAAAATAAACACTTTTTGTGAAAATGTATGTACTTGTATTCATTTTTTCCATGACAAATTCATTGTTATGGTCAATGTGATCTCTGGTTTGCAGAGGTATACCATCAGATAGCCGTTCCATCTGATGTTTACTAGACGTACTCAAGTTTAAAACTCGACTAACAACTACTTACGGTAATGGTTTTTTGCATTGCATTTAATCACTTTTTCATCGACGTTTTGTGTATTCATAAAGAATGTTATCTATGTTTTTTTTTTTAATTAAACAATAAACATGCATACATATAGACTGTCATGCACTTGATTACAGATAATAATTTTATAAAGTGTTTAATTTAATTGGTCTTCTAATCGTTAATTGCTATTGTCATCTGCTTAACTTTTTTGTGGATAAAAGATAGACAGCGCGACTGTAATTTACGACAAGAATTTATTTTTAATTTGTCTTTGATTTTGGTGTGAATGTGTTACTTTTTTGCATATATTTATAATAGGGACAAATTTTTACATATATTTATAATAGGGACAAATTTGATATCTTCATTCTGAATAAAGAGTGGGAGATGTAAGCTATAGTTGAGTGGACTGGGCTACTAGATAACCTGAACTCTGCCAGTAAAGTAATGTAAAATTCCGGTGAAGATTTCGGTTTTTTTTTTTTTGCAGTCAAAAAAGAACCGCATTTACGAAATACAATTAGGAATGCTATAGTCGAGCTCGACTTTTATGTATTATTCTAGTTTTATTGTCAACTACCTCAAATTTATTGCGATTCAGCGAAGTACACTAATCGGATGTGAACTTATTCAAAAGTAAAATAATGGAAAATAGCTCAAATATGGAAAATAGCCGAAGCAAAATAGTTATTTAAATTTAAAAACACAAATTCAAATTCGATTTTGAGCTTTTTAACACAAAGCGTTAATATTTCGTAGTACGAGAGATGTGATGTGATTGCCTTTTAGTTATTAGTCGAAATTTCAGCTCAATGGTTTCGGACGAAGAATTTTGTAGCTAAATGAATTTGAACATTGATTTGAGGCGATTAGAAACAAACAAAGCTGACTACACCTTCACGTCAACTTCAAAAATTGATACTGTATTAATATTAATACTGTATAAATTTGACTTTAAAGGTCATTAAAGCTCAGAATACAAGAAGGCCAGATTAAGAGATAAGGCAAATTCGTCATTATTCTCTCGATTCGATTGCTCTTTATCTTTGGCAGTTTTTTAGCGGTTGTTCTTTATTACGTTTAAAATTTGCCTGATTTGCGATTCTGAAATTATGAAAAAACATTTCCCATAATGAGACAGAATATTTTAGACTAGGGAGTTACCTAACTAAACTAGGTACAGTCAGCCACGAACTCTGTCGGTTTCTTGATAATGAGAAAAAAGATTTAGTGTCCTAGGGAAACATTTCTTAAACTCGGAAGATTCAGAAGAAGATTCTTCCATTCGTGAAACCTCCCAAATATAATAAAAATAATAGGCTTTCACATGCTACCAATATAGTCAAGTATTCCACAATTGTGTTGCCAGATCCATATAAGCACATGCAATCAAGAACAAATATTAAAGAAAAATACTGAAATTTTTCATTGGGAAAACTGCGAAAAGTTGTAAAGCTTTCGTTTTTTTTTTAGGTGCGTAGCTTAAAATATTTTAATTGTAACAAAAACTCTTAATATCAAAAGTAAAATGCCAACACAGGTGTTCTCCAATTGTGATCAGCTCTCATTTCAATAAATTGCTCGAAAGTTACTCTTAATAAAGAAAGTGAACAAATCACGGTTTTGAAAAACTCCACCCATAAAGCTAAAAAGGTACCACGGATTTGGAGATATCCAACTAATTTTAAAACATAAAAATACAGCAATTACAATTTATTTCATTTGCTTACTGAAGAGTTCCATTATCATAATTTGTATGAATATACATATATATTATTAAATGTATATGTTTAAGTGTGCACATATTTTCAGTGTGCAGTTCTTCGCATAACTTTCTCAAGGCCATCGCCAGATCGGTCAGATGCTGTTCTTAAGTCCCAAGTGTGGGACTTGCATAAGCTGATTAAAATATCACAACTGTTAACAAAAAACGACTACATTTGCGCTTCGTAGCATAAGTAAACACATATATATATATATATATATATATATATATATAGATACGTAATATTACTAGATACGAAACATAATGGTACGCGAGTGAAGAAAAATTAATAAAATTAAATTACATTTAATTAGCTTCGGTTGCCTGCTGCAAGTTGCCAATCTTCAGATGATGGAAAAGACTGGGTAGATGGGTGGTTGGTGGCGCTAGATGAGGACTTTAGCATTTGGGGCATTTCACTAGGCCCACCTCGTCGCAGTTCATACATTTTAGTGCCACAAATTCGGTAGTAAAGTGATTGCGATGCACCGACTTCTTGGAGCCGCTACACGAGGGGCACGGCAGCAATCGATAGCCACCGCACGTCCGGCAGGTGTATGCTGTCGCAAGCGACTGATTTTAGTATGTAGAATCAAAAAAATTCAATTTGTTAAGCATAAGTGAACAAGCCAATCCAGTGATCAATGCTCACCTTATATGGTCGCAGCAATTGGCGCAGTTCGCCGCTCTCATTTAGACGCTCTACGATGTCGGCATCCTGTAAAATGTAAAGAAAATACGATTAGACAAGTTGTGAATGTAAATATGAGTGATTATCGATTAGATATACAACTTACGCCAATGTGCTGGCCTTCAACAAATAGTTGGGGCACGCTTATGGTCTCATTATGCATGCGTTCCCGCATCTCCTTTTGATATTCAATGCTCATGAATACATCCCGTTCCTCAAACTTGATGAGCAGTGTGCGCAGTATCTGCTTAACATTGGCACATTTCGCATACGTCTCCCGTACAATGCCCATGCTGGTTGTATACAGCACCACTTTGCCCAGATCCTTTTCCATATAGTTCTACAAGTGAGAATTGCAGATAAAAACAAAATTTATCATCATTAATTTGGGTTGGTTTGTGTACTAAGTAGTTTGTGGCAAAGAAATAACGGTGAGAGCGAATTCGCAAGACGGCGAATCTGCTCAAAGAAGACAATCGGCGAAGAGGGAGAGTAACATGCGATGGTGACGAAGAAGGAGTTTCAGTTCGGCCTTTGACGAAACAGGTTGTAGAACCTGTGTATCAAGATGAGAAAACGACGGGAAATATTGAAAAGACGCCGACATGAAATACAAGAACTTATTAATTGCATTATATTAACATTATAATCATATTAATAATATCTGTAACAATAAAAACCTCACATTTATTAAGATAGCCTTCAATAAACATACAAAGCGATATAGATACGGATACTCAAATGCAGGTACATTTGGGAATTTGTCTACTAATTGTGACAGCAACAGGTGAAATATTGTAAAGAAACCAAGTCAAACCAACATGGCTATTGCCATTAACAAATCAATGAGAATAGAAAGAAGTAAGAGTGTTATAGTCGAGTGAGCTCGACTACGATTTACCCTGAACCCTGCTGTTAATTATATTCTATAACTATTGGCAAACATCCCTATATTAAGTTTTGCACCTAAATGTGAGCAGGTCTACAAGTGCACTCATTTCTTTTAGAAAGCTCAGGCACTTAAGAGTAAATAAAACGACCAGTGCATGTTTTTATTCACAAGCCCGATCTAATCCTAGCTGACTGGCAATAAACACGTGCATATACTTTCATACAGTGTCTCAGACCTTATTTCGACTAGAGCTCACAAATTTTCAATAACATTTAAATCTGGAGACTGGACCGGTAGAATTATCATGTGGGGGAAGTTCCAGATAAGCCAGGACCGTAATAATCTGGACTTATGCTTGTGGTCGTTGTCCTGGTAGAACCGGAAAGTACGTCGGATTCCTAGCTTCTTTGCACTTTGGAGTAAATTTTCCTTTAATATATTGAGGTACACATTCTTGTCCATTGTTGTTTCAATAAACACCAAACTTCTGGCGCCGGCTGCCGAGATACATGCCCATACTAGGATACTTCCTCCGTCGTGCTTGACTGTTGCCTTTAGGTTTTTGGGATTCAGCTCAGTATTGCACTGTCGCCACACATAGTTCCGTCCGTCCGAGCCAAAAATGTTAAATTTGTCTTCAGTGTTCAAATATGAATGTGTTCCAGAACTCCAAATTCTTGTCCAATTGGGTTTTGGCAAACGTCATCTTAGTCCCTTTATTTTTTGCGCTTATAAAGGGCTTCTTCAGTGGTACTCGGGCATTGAAGTCATGTTTGCACAGAACCTGGCGCACAGTTTCAACACTGCACTTTTTCCCCATTTCATCCTGCACATATTGAGTCCATTTTGGAGCCAATAGCTTGGGATTTTTCCTTACTTTCCTGATGATCCTACACTCTTCCTGTTCGGTGAAAATCTTGTTTGGTGCCATTCTGCCCTTGTCCTCTATCCGATTTTCGTCGACGAAGCGACGAATGATGTTGAATACAGTTGATTTGCTTAGATTCACCATTTCAGCTATTTGGCGATGTGAATATCCGATCTTGAAGTGTTCCAGGATGAGATTCCGTTGTTCAATGGTAGTCCGTTTGCCAACAGTCCTTAATCAATCTGACGTAAAAAATCCGGGATTTATGGCACCCAGGTGTCCATAATGTCACATAATGACACTATACGCACACGCAATCGTAACGGAGCTCTGCAGAATACACACAAAGCCATATTAACATTCGCGTCGATTATCATGTCATCTCTTTCTCACAGATGCGCTCGCATATTTATGCATACGAGGTGTGTTCAAAAAGTATCACGAATTTTGAATTTTCGCGGGTTACGTGTATTCGAATTTCGATTTTTTTGTAGCGTTATGTTGGTACTCATGTCTCTCACTTATGCCGACAAGCTCGGCCATTTTGAATGTTCACTTAATTGTTGACAGCTGCTTTGCTTGATTGTGGCATACGGAGAAGCTACCTTGGACCGAAGCAACGTTTATCGGTGGTACAAAATGTTCTCAGAAGGCCGAGAAGATGTGAACGACGAAGAGCGTGCCGGACGCCCGAGCACTTCAACAACAGACGAAAAAATTAATGGAGTGGAGAAAATGGTATTGGCCAATCGTCGAATCACCGTTAGAGAAGTTGCTGAGGAGCTAGACATATCGATTGGCTCATGCCATTCGATTTTTATCAATGATTTGGGCATGAGACGGGTCGCCGCGAAATTCGTACCAAAATTGCTCAATTGCGACCAAAAACAGCATCGCATGAACATTGCTAATGAGATGTTGGACTCTGTCCGCGACGACCCAAATTTGCTCCAGAGGGTCATAACTGGTGACGAATCGTGGGTTTATGGTTACGACGTGGAAACCAAAGCTCAATCATCTCAATGGAAGCTGCCGCACGAACCAAGACCGAGAAAAGCGCGCCAAGTTCGGTCGAATGTGAAAGTTTTGCTGACAGTTTTCTTCGATTGCAGGGGCGTGGTGCATCATGAGTTCTTGCCACAGGGTAGAACGGTCAATAAGGAATATTACCTGCAAGTTATGCGCAATTTGCGCGAAGCAATCCGCCAGAAACGCCCGGATTTGTGGAAGAACAAAAATTGGCTTTTGCACCACGATAACGCCCCTGCTCACACATCGTTGCTTGTGCGCGACTTTTTGGCCAAAAACAACACACTAATGATGCCGCAGCCACCGTATTCCCCAGATCTGGCCCCCTGTGACTTTTTCTTGTTCCCTAAACTGAAGAGGCCCATGAAAGGACGACGTTACGATACGGTTGACGAGATAAAGACGGGATCGAAGGAGGAGCAGAACAAGATAAAAAAAAATGATTTTTTGAAGTGCTTCGAAGATTGGAAAAACCGTTGGCACAAGTGTATAATATCTCATGGGGATTACTTTGAAGGGGACAAAATAGATATTCATGAATAAATAAATAATATCTGAAAAAACACAAAATTCGCGATACTTTTTGAACACACCTCGTATATATATATAACGTTCTGAGTTCTAAAATGGTGCTAATATTGCGAAAACAAAGTACTCGTAATTTAGGTGAAAGAATTCACCACATTTATTCCATGTAAATGCATCAAATATAAATTTATATAAATCTAAATCTCTTTTTACGCTTCCCATTCACTACAATTTGTAGTATATGTATGTAGTATAGTATACATATGTATATATGCGAGTACAACTTAATGATACTGCAAACAATGCACACATATTTTTGTTCTCCATTTCCATTTGCATTGGTCTTCGCTCGCGTATTTGTGTATGTGTGTATTTATGTATGTATGTATGTATATATATATGTATATATGTATGTATGTATGTGTGTGCGTATGCAATCACAACTTGTTTTTCCAACACTTTAATTGGAAGCTAACAAAAGTGGCAGTCGAATTATCGAGACCGGACAGGCCGTCTCACCTTCGATCATCCGATAGATAGCGTTGAAGCCTGCAACTCGACGCATATGACGGTAGCTGCCAAAATGTTATAAATTATGCTCATAACAAATGATATAATAAATTCGAGTAGCATATTGTGCACATACATACACCATATGTATGTAATTAAAAAATATGTTATACATGCCTTTTAATTGACTTCACAAACATTAACCAGGCTGTTAATGTTGCACAGGTCTCCTATTACTATTATTATTGTATATCGTACATGAATAAATATCGTCCACCATACGTTTGCTTTCGAAATGACAATAGTAAATCAGGAAACAATGTCGTTATATAGACAAAACCGAATTTTAAAATTAACTCAATTTTCGTAAAATGTTATGGGCAAAAGAGCGATAACATATTTTTTCCATCTTTAAAAATTTATTAAATACAGTCAAGTCAGAATAGAAAACGTATTTAGAATTTAATTTAATCGTATTCTAAATGCAATTACATAGTTAAATCAATTATTGTAAAATATTAATCAATTGATTACAACTCTGCCATTGAAGGCAGTCTAGTAGTACAAATATGTAATTTAACTTCCCATCTTAGTTGTAGTTGTAGTTGGCCAGACCGTTCATTGATTTGCATAAGTTCACATTTTAGTTACATATTTTTAACGAGTAATATGGCATACGAGTATTAAACGGTATTAAGTATTACAGCAACAAAACCAAATGGAGGCGCAAAATATAAAACTGGCACATTAATAATTGTCATTAACCGTCATTTGCGATGTGTTGCATTGTGATATAGTGTGATGTGGATGTCTCTAACAACAAAGTTCAAAGCCATGTTAAGTGATAAAGGACGCCAGCAGCAAACAACTATTTCAAGACCAAAACTAGTTTAGCTATCTGTGAGTGTGTGTATGGTTGGGCCCTTAAATCCCTTTTTGCCAGTTTGAATAAACATTTCAACTGCGATCCGAGTTGTTGTCACACCATCGTACCAGCGTTCAGCATCCACAATTAACTCGTGCTCTTGCAGAACCGTTGACAGGCCGAAAGACCCAAAGCCAAAATCAGCAAAACATTAAAAAAAAATGTTGTTTTATGTTTTTAGCGGTAACAGGTAAAGCTATTAGGCAAAAAGAGAAAGCAGGTCACTTACGATCGACAGGAGTCGATTGGAGGATTGTTAATCGCGAACACAATTGTGTCGAGAAATATATATATATATAAATATAATATATATTTATATGCTATATGCTATACATTGCACAGACGCTGCAGCATCTCAGAGTCAACAATAACATTCGGAATTCAAGGAGACGTGGAACATACGGTTATGTGAGCAAATGCCACCAAACAACAACTGCAGCCAAAACTTCTGCAACTGCTAAATTCACAACTCTGCGTTGCGTTATGTCGCTTTGTGGTTCCGTAAAGTTCAATTAATACGTTAAATGGGGCTGGACATTATGTAATCGAATACGTCTTTCCCAAGCGCGCTTAATTGCTTCGATACCG